TAAAAAATCGACTTAGCTGAATTTAGATCGATTTTAAGTTATAATTTACTAAATTTTAGTTATAATATTTTGATTTAATTTTATAGAAAATGTCTTGGCGAGCTTTGGTATTCAAGTACCTTCATTCAAAGAATAATAATTGACTTTCTAGCTATTATATAGATGAATTAACCAAAGTTTTAGTCAATAATGATATTTATTCATTTAAGATGTTGAACTATAATAAACAAAGATCTTCTGTATATTAACGTTTATGCTTGGCTTGGAAATTGAAAAAGGTATAAAATTTTTTTTTTGTTATATTTGCAAAAATTCAATCATTATTTGACTGATATTCGGTATGTCAAATAATATACATAGCATATCATTTAATATACCAAACATCAGTTGAATAGCAATAACAAGAATACTAATTTAATTAATTTATTATTTGCATGTTGATTTTTTCTTTTTATTTTAATAGTTAACTGATTTGTTGCATGATGTCTTTGATACAGATGTACAATTTCATTCCAAATATCCTCATTGAAGCTTATATATATTGATGGCTTCTCAACCTGATAATCTGCCTGATTGGGCAATAAGGAATAAATATGGTGATGATGATGATGACGATGAGAAGAAAGAAGAGGAAGAGAAAGAAGAAGATGAAGAGGATAAGTTAGAAGTAGATGAGGATGAGGGTTCTGGTGATGATAGTGAATAGAGGGGTGATAATGACGAAAAGAAAAGTGCTAGAAGTCATGATAAAAGACCAGCTTCTGATACCATAGAATAATCTTTAAGAAAATAAAGTGTTTAATTTTTTTTGATTTTTTTTTAATTTTTTTCAAATTTTATTTGCTTTTTTTTGTTTTTTTTTGTTTTTTTTTTACTTTTAGTTTTTTTTTTTCTTAAATTTGTATCTAATTTGTTTTAATAAATTTATAAAATTTTAAAATAATCCAGAATTCAATTTGTACGAATGTTATTAGTAATCGATTGTTGATTATTAATCTACAATGATTGAAATAGCCAATTCGACTTGAATTCGGCTATCGAATTTATACCAAATATTATTAGTAAGCAGTTGTCAATTATTAGTATTTGGTAATGATTATAAGTCAATTTAT